TAATTAATGACAGAATTTTCATTTTGGGATGAACTATCCCTTTAATGTAATCAGTTAATTGTTTTTAATGGATTGACAACAAAGTGACACAGTTCATGGCCTCACCTCCAGCTCGATCCTCTTCTCCCCCGGGGTGTCTATGAGGTAGCGGGCCAGCGTTCCCGGTGTGGTCCTGTAGGTGAGGATGACCGAGTTCTTGGCATCCTGACACCACTGTATGAAGAGCTCCCGTGAGAAGCCAGACTCCAGATCAGGCTGGCTGCACAGAACCACCTTCGGGCTGGGCACGCGGGCCAGATCGGCCAGGCCGTGACAGAGCGAGAGGTGGCGGAACTGGAAAGGGTTGTTGCGCTTGTCCTCGAAGCATCGCATCAGTTTATCGCTCATCCACTCGACCTGTGAGAAAACACCAGAGCTTTCTGATTTCTGACACGTCTCGCAACATGTGCAAAATTTCCACAAAAAAAATCTAAATATTTCATGGGATTTTGTGCTGGTTTTTAATCTTTTCATACTCTTCATATTCAATATAAGCAATATTTGATTTCCAGAGGATTTTTACCTTTAGAATGGAATTTAAAAAATAACTTTATTAGATAGATTCATCACTTTTATGTAAAATTCTTACATTTAATCAATAAATTCAATTAGAATAGTAAGAAATGTTTCATTGAAAAAACTGAATCAGTCGGTCACTGAATCATTAACTAAACCAACTCGTTCAAAACACAGATTCATTCAGTAACGAAGCACTGCTATGTAGCTATTGTTTGGGGATGCAAAAGCCATGGAAAAAAAACTAAAACGTAAAAAAGTAATTGTGACTTCTGACTTTTTCTCAGAATTCTGAGTTTACATTTTGCAATTAATAACTCACAAATTTGCAACTGTGAGAAATTCTGAGAAATGTCAGAATTCTTTACAATTCTGAGAAAATTCTTCACAATTCTGAAAAAAAGTCAGAATTCCTCACAATTCTGAGAAAAAAGGTCAGAATTATTTACAATTCTGAGAAAAAAAGTCAGAATTCTTCACAATTCTGAGAAAAAAAAAGTCAG